TTAATCAATTATTGTTATATTTTATTGTAATGTAGAGACAAGGCTTTTAGTGACAATCATGTATTGCGTTACAATTATATGTAAAATAGTCTAAATATGATATTTGGCCTCAAATCATCTGCGGCCTGGCGCCCCCCCTGCGATCTTTGGCGCCCCCCAGGTTGGGAACCACTGCTCTAGGAGGAGATTCAGGTCATAAGGGGGGGACACATCTTGAGGGGACACATGTTGATGAAGAAGAGACATGGAGAAGAGGGGACACATGTTGATGAAGAAGAGACATGAAGAAGAGGGGACACTTGTTGATGAAGAGGAGACATGAGGAAGAGGGGACACATGTTGATGAAGAGGAGACATGAGGAAGAGGGGACACATGTTGATGAAGAGGAGACATGAGGAAGAGGGGACACATGTTGATGAAGAGGAGACATGAGGAAGAGGGGACACATGTTGATGTAGAAGAGACATGGAGAAGAGGGGACACATGTTGATGTAGAAGAGACATGAAGAAGAGGGGACACATGTTGATGTAGAAGAGACATGGAGAAGAGGGGACACATGTTGATGTAGAAGAGACATGAAGAAGAGGGGACACATGTTGATGTAGAAGAGACATGAAGAAGAGGGGACACATGTTGATGTAGAGGAGACATGAAGAAGAGGGGACACATGTTGATGTAGAAGAGACATGAAGAAGAGGGGACACATGTTGATGTAGAAGAGACATGACGAAGAGGGGACACTGTGATGTAGAAGAGACATGAAGAAGAGGGGACACATGTTGATGAAGAGGAGACATGAGGAAGAGGGGACACATGTTGATGAAGAGAGACATGAGGAAGAGGGGACACATGTTGATGAAGAGGAGACATGAGGAAGAGGGGACACATGTTGATGAAGAGGAGACATGAGGAAGAGGGGACACATGTTGATGAAGAGGAGACATGAGGAAGAGGCTGTGCATCAGCTTACCGTCTGGTGCACTTTGGTGGCGTTCATCATGGCTCCGACTCCACAGTTCGGAGCGACTTTGACACAACACGAGTCCGGCACCGAGTTGCCGTCGGGGCCGAAGCCCCTCCAGTCCGTGGAGCTGTTGGAGCCGCAGCACTTCCACTGCAGGGCGAAGAAACACACGTTAAAAACATTTAATAACGGACACAATATCAGAGTTTCATGATTGGTCAAAATATAATCATGAGAAAATATTTTTACAAATCTATATATTTTGTTTGTTTCTTTAAATAAATAAATTAGGCTTAAAAGAAACCAATATTTTAACAGTTTTTTATTTATATTAATTATTAGGCTTCAAATAGAAAGAAAAAAATGATATATTGTATTTTGTCTGACTTTTTAAAATATATGAATTAGAAAATATAATTAAGTTTGGCTTAAAAATAGAAAGAAACTAATATTTAGTGATCTAATTTATTCTAAAAATAATCCAGAATCACACGGAGAGATCCCATTGGCCCAGGGCGATGCTGCCTTCAGGGTCCCTCCCTGTATTGCAGCATGTTGTCAGTGTGCAGTGAGTCAGCATGTTGCGAGAGGGAGCGGTCAGCAAACATTCGACTCACGTCCTCTTGCAGTTTGTCCACCGTCTTCCTGAAGTCAGCAGTGCTGTTCTTGTACTCGTGGATCATGTCTGCCAGGCTGTCCTCCACCACCACGGAGAGCTGAGGGACAAACAGCACGTCAGCACTCATCCTTACTTCTACGTTGCTTAACTGCACTCCTTCCTCAAGACCTCTGTCCAACATCGTGACATCTGACCCAACAGAGAATATGAACTGAGTCCATTCAATCAGAAGCTACAGGGTCACATGATCAGAGTTGGGGAAATACTTCCCAAGGCCCATAACTTTGACCCAGTGTATGAGTTCTGTCCTGACTGAGCTCAGGCACCTGTAGCCTGGCTGCTGTGCTCTCAGTGCTCTGGCTCCCTGCTCCTGCCTGCTGGCGTCAGCTGATGGAGGTGTTATCATTCTATCTTGTTCTGCAGCATGTTGATCATTCTCTCTGATAGCTAAACACTCGGGTCTGGGGTTTGACGGTGACTCCCACTGCATTGCTTCACAGACGTTTCTCCCACAATTAGATACAGCTAGAACTCTCCGTGAGCACTGGTCAATCCTCACTACACACACACACACACACACACACACACACACACACACAGAGGAAGAGGGGACACGTGTTGATGTAGAAGAGACATGAAGAAGAGGGGACACATGTTGATGAAGAGGAGACATGAAGAAGAGGGGACACATGTTGATGAAGAAGAGACATG